ATGCACGTTGTAACATCTCATAATCAGAAACAAATTTAATTTTAAAAAAATCTTATGCGTCCAGTATTCATTAGAATTAGTTTAAGATCTTTTTCTTTACAAAAACATCTGCATTGCACGATTTTTTCATCAGCAAAAAATACAATGAAACCTTGCTGAGACCTCGAACTCCGAACTATCAAGCACCTGAAGGTCCTGAACCAAAGCTTTAGCCGATAATTGCTCCTTCGATTTCCCAGTCTTAGAGTTCATACCGCTGCCGTCACTCCTTTACAAAAAAGTTGTTTTACATAGATTATATTTTGTAGGCTATAAATTTATAATATTGGATGTTAATAATTATAAATTTCAAAAAAGTATTTGAGATTATAGAAATAATATTTCTTTAGATTATTAAAATTTGATAAACCATGTGTATAATACAAGTTTAACGTATTTTATTAGTATGTGTAATAATATGAAAATCTATTTGTGAGAGATGGAAGTAGTAATATAGTTTTGGAATTTTCAGTTTCAAAAATTCAGTTGTAGTGTAATTGCTGAAGTAAAGTTTGTTTTTGAGACTCCAATCCCAAATTTAAAAATAACTTACATATGTACTTACATAAGTTTTGATTTCTTAATAAGTTTTATTTACACAATAACAATCTTTCAAAATCACATAATATTTTTTTTTGTATATATAAAATGTATATCTCCAATTTACCTCAATTTCTTAAGGTTGCAAGGCAATGTCTGCGCGACGTCTAGAATTTCGATTCATCGTGTAATCTTCTAAGCACTTTGATATTTTTTTAGATAAGGTGAGTGAAACATTCCCAGCCACTTTTATCAAAAAAAAAACACTCCCAGCCATTAATATATCTTTAAATTAAAAACAACTAGATTTTAACCCATACAACCGTGCGAGTTTTTTTGAATACTAAAATGTTTTAGGTTATACAATAAAAATTATTAATATATTTATATAATTCGGTATTTTGTATTATTAAATTTTATAATAATGTTTGTGCGTATTATAATATTATTACTATAAATTTATAATTTTGTATTTTTGTAACAATTTAAAAACATTATTATGAAACAATAATAATTGTTTTATTTCTAAATTTGAAATATAAGTGGAAACTAAGTTAAGTTGGACATACATACTAGGGAAACAATTTTTTAGGATACTTTTAAAATTATTGTACATAATTTTGTTATAACTCAAAATAAATAATTTTTTTAATTATATTTTCTGATAATTAAAATTCAATTAACTAATCTTGAAAATATTTTTTTTTAAATCTAAAAGATCTTACAAAGATATTGTTAGAATTTTCAAAAAAAAATATTTTTGTATTTTAAATAAAATTAAAATATGAAAATATATTTTATAATAATGTTATGTAGACTTTAATAAACTTTTTTAATGATGGTCCAAATTAAAAAAAAAATCACACATGCAATGAATTATGGATTCTGTTTTAATATAATAGATGAACAAAAGAAAGGAAAAACTTTGGCTTATCAACAATCCAAAAGGTTTCTGCATTATTTTCTCAAAAAAGTTTCTGCATGAAAGAGGAAATAACTGATGAATAAGATGACAAGTGGAGAGTTAGGGTGCGTGAAAGAAAAGGGGATGACGTGGCTTTCCTTACATCATCTCATCTTTTGGTAGCTTTGGACATGAATATTTTTCGACAGAGATTTTTGTCTCTCTGCATATTTCTAAAAACTACACTAACTAAAGATTCCATGTCCTTTTCTTTTTCTATGCACCTACCCAAACACGTAACACTACTCAGCTTCTCAACTTTTTTCATTTAGATAATATATGAATAATTAAATTATTTACATATGACATATCGAAAAAGATTGTGCATGCATCTAACAGCCGCAATATTCAGATTTAGAACCATAGACTCGAATAATGCCGAATTGCCGATAATTCTTTTCTTTTTTCTTGCTAAGAATGTAAATTATCATTTAAGATGAAAGATTTGTTTACAAAGTAGTTAATCTTTACAAAGCAACACTCTGGCAAAAAGAAAGTAAAAAACAGGGAGTTGATAAACTGAACAGCAGCATGAGGTCCTTGACAGGGCCGGCTCAAGTGCAGGGGCGAGCAGTGCGACGGCCCAGGGCCCGTACATAAAAAGGGGCCCAATGCAAAAGTTGTTTTGGTGTTAGATTTAACATATTCACGTTTTCTTATTTAATTTCACTTAAAAATTAGATTGTTTAATTACAAAAGGCCTAATCAAAAATACATACAACAAACATTAAGCCCAAAATAGTGAACCAAAATCTAAAACGGATCTAATATATGATTATTTAATAAATGACACAATTTTTGATGGATTGGATTAAAACTTTATAATTTAAGGGGTCTAAATAATTTTTTGCCCAAGGGTCCAGAAGATGTTTAAGCCGGCCCTGGTCCTTGAATTTCTTCCTGGTCCTCAGAGAATAGATGGAGTTAATAACATGCCTATTGATGCCCTTAAACACCAACATAGGGGGAGTGATTAACTGATTGTGCAGCATATTGTTGCGCTGCCTCCATACAGAGTAAAACAGAGATTGAACCACTAGCATTTTAAGCCGTGCTGGTGCAGATGGGACCGAGTGACAGACTCATTGCATAAGGTCTGACCAGTCGCTGAATACAGGGACCACACATTAAAATTTCTACTTTGTGGGTTGCTTTATCAGTGATTGAATTAGTCTTTGAATAATATTTATAAGTTGCCGATAATGTTTTTTAAAGAACTGCATACAAAACTGTAAAATTCTTTGTCATTAGTTCCAAAAAAAAGAAAAATCTTCGTCGGATCATATCATATGCGACCCCATGTATCATCACGTGGCCCATCATAACCTCATCCAAAAGCCTAGTTAAACAACCCCATAGCCGCAAGAAATTTTGACGATACTTCCTTTTAATGATTTAATATTATACTGTTGTATGAAATATGAAACTCATTATCTCAACTAGAAAGGACATTATCCATTATGTAGAAGTCCCAATTTGGATGATTACTGTGACAAAACTAATATTATACATTGTGATTCTGGGTTTGAAAGATTACGGACGTTAACTCCAAACCTCCATTTCTCAAGAAAAAAAAAAAACTCCAAACCTCTTGGTGTTCAATCTTTTAAAGTGGAATAAAGGTAAAGAGACAATAAAAAAAATTACTAGTTCCCGGTTTCTCGACCGTTATATATAACTTTTATCGAATGAAATACAAGAGCGGTCACATGATCGTGAAATTACGGAATATGTATTTCAATTACATGAGAAGAATCGTTTAGATTTTGATTTTAGATATGAACATCGGTGTTTGTTCGATTTTTATTTTTATTTTTATCTTTTTATTTTTATTTTTTGTTTGTTCGATTTTTAACGACTAGCTAAAGTTATGATTCTGAATCAAAATGTTCAGATAGCCTTTCATCATGTTACCTAGCACTGGTAGAAGCTGATGAGCCATACCCACTGTCTGATATTATAAATTCACGTGATTGTCATGCTCCCTACGTAAACATTCGATTATATAAAATCTGTATGGCACCTTGTATGCGTTACGTGGACATTCGTATGCAAATGGATATGCATGTTCGTTTTTATTAGGTGCCTTGTCTCTCTTTATATTTTGTGTTGTCCACTTTAGATTCGAGACGAAAACAATAGATTTGTGTCGGGATTTCGAGAGCCATTCGGTTTGGTTTGTACGAGTATTAAAATTTTTGATTTGTACTGATTTGTCAAAAATGAGTATTTACAATTTTAAATATTTGCGAAAAATTGATAGACTTACAAGTAGTTTGCCTTGTTTTATTACTTGTCATTTGTAAACATTTTACAAATTACTTGATAACTATTAGTAAATTATTTGATAATTAGTTAAAATGTCAAACTAAATAAATTTATTATATATAAATTGTTTTCATTTGTTATTGTTTTTCTCTTCTGATTTTTAGTCATTCATGAAATATATTATATTAAGAAAGAATAAATTTCAAAATGTTTATATAAATATATCACTTATGTTTGATTCACTTATAAAAATTGAAATATAACGAGCTGTTTTACTATGATTTAGGAAAATGTATCTTTGTTTATTAACAAAAACGGATAATAAACCAAACAACGCTGAATAATTAGTTTTATTTTATTATTTTGTATTTGTTTGTATTTGAAAGTTGTTTAAATAGACTACTAGATGCACATCTTAGTCAAAACAAGTATTCGACTTTAAAGATCGTGTACCAACCAAGTAGTTAACATGGGAAGTAACAATTAATTATGGTCACTCATAAAATACATAAATTTCAATTAATTAATGAAATACATACTAAGTATGTAATAAACCAAGTAATATATGATAAGTAACAAATAAAGGATAACAAGTAATAAATCAAATAACAAACTAAGTAGTTAAAAATTAAAATGAATTTGATACTTGACTTGCATTTGCGAGTAATAAAATCCATTTACTTGTTACTCGACTTGATTGGAGCAAATACTTGTTTTTTTCAAACTAAACCGAATCAAGTAGCGACTACAAGCCAAATATCAAGCATTTGTGCTCAGCCCTATAGATCACAATGAATAAAAAACTAATAACATCAAATATGGATTTGTAAATCTATTTTATTTCAGGCATTACAAAACTAAGTTGATATTTCTTTCTTGCCAAGAATCTGTTTTTAATTAATTGTCAAGCAAGATACTATCGAAAAAATATTGAATAAGTTAACAAAAATAAAATATCGTAAATTCCATTATATATTATCTAATAGCTGATTATAATTTAATCACATGGTTATGATGCCAGCCAAAATTGGGGACTGGAAAGGCTCATCACACAAATATCATGTTTCATGTTACGTTCTCAAACACATCTTAAACTCCATAGCAAAACATTATTATATAGCAAAGAAACCAAAACTCGAGTAAGAAGCATTCAATCACAATCAAAAAAGAAAGTGATATATTATCTATCATGGCGTTAAGAGAGATAGTAGGTGATGATATAGAGAGCTGCAGTGATCCATCTCTTTGTCTGGATAAAGCCAAGGAGCTTCTTGCACTCTTCAATTTACCTACAGGACTGTTGCCATTGAAGGACATGATAGAAGTTGGGCACAACAAAACAAAAGGGTTTGTGTGGATGAAGATGAGAAGCAAGATTGAGCATACATTCGGTGAAATAGGTCGTAAAGTGATATATGACACGGAGATAACTGCTTATGTTGAAAACCGTAGGTTGAAGAGACTTACCGGAGTTAAAAGCAAAGAACTCATGATTTGGGTTCCTGTGCATGATATCTTCATCAAAGAGAAAGAACAAGAGAAGATCACATTTGCTAATAACACCGGCCTGTCGCGAACATACAAAGTTTCAGCATTTGAGAGCGAGGGTTGATAAATATGGAGAAAAAGAAGAGTAACTAAACTTTCTTGATGTAACAAAACAATAAAGAACATGAATGGTTCCATATCTATAGAACACATGAGTTTCATTAATATAGTAAAGAGAAGCTTAAGTTTTTACACATGACAACGTTATTAAAACTCGCATCTAGGAAAATATCTGTGAAGTGAGACAATGTGTAGAATTAGAATTTACCAAGTTCACTGTATTTCTAATTACATAAGCTCACAATTAAACAGCATTGTTTCAAGAAACTTATTCGTACGAGACTGGATTGAGTAAAGCATTGTGTTACAAGTTGAAGGCTCAGGATCGATGTCACCTTTAACCAAAGCAAACCTCTTAAATTAGCGGATACATTGTTCTAAACTAGAAGACACACAGAAAGCAACGGGAGCGTGTAACGGACAGTTTGGTAAATAACTCTTCTGCAAACTATGTTCACCGAACTGAAAGGATACACGGACGCGTGTGTATTATACTAACAAGTTTTGTAAAATATTATTCCCAATTTTTTTGCTAATACAGCGATAGAAGTCTTTGGTTTTTAACTTAAGATTTACTTACACTCAGGAGAAACTTAATATAGATCTCTTTCTGTTATGTCCAGTTTCAAACTTAATATCTATCCACTAGTTATGTCCAGTTTCAAACTTAATATTTATTCACTAAATATCCCAACATAATGGGATGGGGTAAAGCTTTTGTTTGTGAAACTTTATATAGATCATCTCTCTGTTCTTTTACTTTTGACATTTTGTGCTTTAATTCCTTTTTTGTTTGGTTCTATGTTCTCTCTCAAAGCTTGCTTACTCTTAACACAAAACGTGACTACGCAAGCTGTAGCACAGGGAAGTTCCTTATATTGATATTAGTCTTTGGAATGTCTAGTGCTGATGGGTACTAAGAGCCCAAGTGTCTCTGCTTTTAGTGAAAAAGGAAAGGTCACTTTGTTGGGGGTCTTATACTAGGGAGACTTTTGAGAAAACCTCCCAGGATCCCACCTCAGAGGGGATGGTACGATGAACATGACACACAACGGACCAAAACCAGATGTCTATCTAAACGTTGCTAAGGATTTGGGTGGCCGTTTACTTTCGGCTTTTAACTCCAGCCCTACTTCAGTTCCTTATAGTGATGTCATATCAGCTCATCCAGCTCCAGGAGGAATGAGCAGTACAGCAGAAGTTGCATCTGTGCAGCTTGAGTTTAATTACCTCAGTGCTGTCTCTGGTGATCCCAAGTACAATACAGAGGCTATGAAGGTCTTGGCTCATATAAAGACTCTTCCAAAGACAGAAGGTCTTGTTCCAATCTACATCAGGTAATTAGTTTCATGCAATTTCAACTAGTAGTTATGATCTGACATGTTGTTTGTACCTGGTGCAGCCCTCAATCCGGTGAGTTTGTTGGTGAGAACATAAGCAGGAACATAGCGAAAGCATGTTTTGAGATGTATGAAGTAACAGCCACTGGCCTTGCTCCAGAAATTGCTTTACTTTCACACAGAGGTAAGTTTTTGCTTGTACATTTTTTGCAGAACTCTAAATCTTGCTTTGTTAATTGTTGGATCCTAATAAAAGCAGGAATACTCTGGATGATGGTCTTGAAGGAGGGAATAAAATCTCGGTTTATGCAAAAGATATAATCATAAAGCATGCTGATAGACATAACGTACTGCGTCCTGCGACAGTTGAATCACTCTTTGTTCTCTACCGTATCACAAAAGATACAATTCATAGGATTTTGACTTCTTCAAAGGACTATACTAACTCTTAAAACCTAAACACACATTTTCTAACAAATTGCAGATACAGAGATCAAGGTTGGATGATATTTGAAAAGCACACAAAGGTGAAATCAGGTGGATACACATCATTAGATGACGTAACAGAAATGCCTCCTCATAGGAGAGATAAGATGGAATCCTAGGTGAAACATTGAAGTACTTGTACTTGTTATTTGCAGATGACTCGGTGATACCGTTGGAATAAGTTTGTTTTCAACACTGAAGCTTATCCATTACCAATAAGAAACACCTGAAGGGTTTACTTTTGAAGAATATTCCAGAAAATACACACACACAGATTAGATACTTGGAGGAAAAGTGATGTATAGTAACAGTAAGATAAGTTTCAGCATCCAAGTTATAGTTTAAATCTAAAAAGTTTTTAAATTAATGAAATGTAGATCTTGTTTCTTTACAATAGTTTGTTTCTTGCCAATAATAATACTTTTCATGTAGCTTGTTACTTAGGTACTTAAGATCAGTCTATTTATCCTTTTGGAATGCTTTCTTGGTGCATCAGCTTTTAACTCTGATGTGTCAAACAAATAAAAAGTGTATTCTTTGTTACGCTGTAACATCTTTGTGTTTTGTTTGTTTGTTTTTTTACTGCAAAGCACCCAAGGTTTGTTTGTTTGTTTTTATTAGTTTCAAATACATTACAAATTGAGATGTTTGTTTTTGTTTTTAGATGTTTATCAACTACTTTGGATACTATATGTTATGGTGAATCTGTAAGGTTTGTACAGCTTTGAATGTTAATTCGTATCTGAAGGAGTCTATTGAACCAATGAATGACACTTCAAGTTTTACATTATTTGTTTATTGTTGATTTACTGAAGATCATGAGGGTTATCACAATCGTAGATTAGCTGTCTGTCTCTGTGGTTTGGTTTTACTCATCATAATGACGTTTGATTCTCATTATTGTTTTAAGTTTTTTTGAGTCCTTTCTTAGTTTATTTGGAGTGGTCAGGAGGTTGAGCTCTTCGTCTTGATAGCTTAGATGCAATCCATGATAAAGAGGAAGTGATTTAACATTATGGCGTTAAGAGGGATGACAAGAGATAGGATTTATAAAGAGCCATCTCTTTGTCTGGACAAAAAGGCAAATGAGCTTCGTGCTCTCATCATACCAACATAGGTTGTTGTCATTGACAATATGACAGAGGTTTGGTCTATCGAAAAACCAAAAGGTTTGTGTGGGTTCATGTCATGATATCGATAGGATCAATTTTGTTAAGACATTCAAAAGTTTCAGTGTTTTCAGAGCGAGAGAAAATAAGCTTCCTTGATGTAAGCAACCAATTAAGAACAGAAGCTGTTCCCTATCAGGACCACATCTTAATGTTAGTAACAAATATTCAAGCCAAGATACTGGAGAAAAAAAAAAAAAAAGAGAAAATTCTAAAAGATGTGTTTTCTAAAATACTGTTGATAAATTATTATTTAAAAAAAAACAAAGAAGGTGAGGTAATAATGAGAACTCTGAATAAGAAAAGCCCAATGGGCTTGAGACATCGGGTCCATATGGTTTAGAAATCTTAGGGTTTTATTTTATTTTTCCTTCTCTTACAAGGTGATGTATATAAATCAGGAAGCATCTTTCTTTTGAAGTTTTCACTCATCCACGGAGAGGTCTCTACACGGCGTTGCTCCCTTCTCTCACGCAAAAAAATGGATGTTTTCAGGGTAAATAGATTCTGAAACCTAACCACTTAGCTTCTGATCTATGTTGATCCGACAAATCAAGTCAGAAATTACCTTTTGTCTGATCTGTTTCTCCTTGTTTGCCAGTTTCACCAGTACCAGGTTGTCGGAAGAGCTCTCCCAACAGAGAAGGAAGTGCAACCTAAGATTTACAGGATGAAGCTTTGGGCAACGAACGAGGTTCGTGCCATGTCCAAGTTCTGGTTAGTTAACTACTCTATCTCTCTTGTGTCTCACGGAATCCTAGGCTTGTGTCTCTTTAACTATTAGTTGCAATCTGATTGGTTTAGGTACTTCTTGAGGAAGCAGGTGAAGATTAAGAAAAGCAATGGTCAGATGCTTGCCATCAACGAGGTACACCAATTATCTCTCTTATGTTAGTGCAGTTTTACACTATTGGAGTTGGTGTTCTATCTGCAAATCGGATACAAACGAAACAATTTTTTTCAAACCAGTTTAAAAAAAATCGGTCTAGATTCCCGCCTAAATAATAATTCTTTATAAGTTGTTTAACCATCGCCTAGTGATTTCGATTTAGAACATTAATTGGAGTGTTAGAACTGTAATTGTCAAATGCTTGTTGCAAATTTTTTTTATAATAAATCAAATGTTTTGTGACAGATCTTTGAGAAGAACCCAACGACGATCAAGAACTTTGGAATCTGGCTTAGATACCAGAGCCGTACAGGTTACCATAACATGTACAAGGAGTTCCGTGACACGACTTTGAACGGAGCAGTGGAGCAAATGTACACCGAGATGGCTTCGAGGCACAGAGTCAGGTTCCCTTGTATTCAGATCATCAAGACAGCCACTGTACCAGCAGCTTTGTGCAAGAGAGAGAGCACGAAGCAGTTTCACAATAGCAAGATCAAGTTCCCTTTGGTCTACAAGAAGGTTAGACCTCCCAGCAGGAAGCTCAAGACTACCTACAAGGCCTCTAAGCCCAACTTGTTTATGTAAATGCTCTCTTGAAGCTATTGAAACGTTTCAGACTACTTTTGAGGATCCAAACTCGTTAGTACTTTTTCGTATTATTATTATTATTATTTTTTTTTGGGCAACCGTATTATTATTGGATTATATTATTTTCTATGCTGGATATTTTTGATTGTCGTCTTTGGTTGGCAGCGAGACTTAATAATATTATAGAACTAGATTTTGACCCGCGTTTGAAAAGCGCAGAAATTTTTTATGATTAAAAATTTATATAATTTGGTTTTGTCTTAATTTCAAGAATGTTTTGGTATAAAATTAGTTTACCAAAATTTGTGGTGATAGTTGTTTTTCATTAGTTTTTAGTTTCAGTTTTTATTTTTATATTTTGTTTTAAATTTTGATTTTTTGATTTTTAGTTTTTAATTCTATTTTTGATTTTCAGCTTTTGGTTTGGTTTTTTAATTTTTAGACCCGCTGAGTTAGTTTGAACTGATATTACCAACAAACAAATCTCAATTAATCGAACATGTAATTTAAAACTGAAAAGATGACAAAATAATTTTCATTACCAACAAACAAATCTCAATTAATCGAACATGTAATTTAAAACTGAAAAGATGAAAAAATAGTTTTCTAAAAATTTTGAAATTGTTTATTTTGTAAATAAAAAAAGCAAAAAATATAACCTGCGTTTTCAGCTTTTGGTTTTGGATTTTAGTTTTTAGATTTGGTATTTGGTTTTGCTTTACATTTTCTTTAAATCTGTAAATTATTTAAGAAAAATAAAACAATAAATTATTTAAAAGTTACCATTAAAATTTATCAAGATAGAGTGATTGTAATTTAAAATAAAAAATATTAACATGTTTTAAAGTACATGATTTAAATAAGTGATTAATAATAGATAATTTTCTTTTGTTGAAAATATTAAATATTTTTGGGCTAAAATATATTAACATGTTTTAAAGTACATGATTTAAATAAGTGATTAATAATATATAATTTTGTTTTGTTGAAAATATTAAATATTTTCGGGCCTGAAAATAGTAATTGATTTTTGATCCATTAAGGTGGAAAGTTTATTTAATGTATTTTGGAGTTTTTCTTTAATACTAAGCCCAAAAACCAAACAATTAAATGTCATAAAAACAAAAGTAAGCCCAAAACTCTATTCCATAAATAACCGTCGGTTTAATTTAAGTAATGCGGTTCAATTAACTATATAACTTGTATTATTTGTAACACTCTAGAAAAGGTCCAAATTTAAATGACAATTTGTATCAGTAGATAAAAAAGAATAGCTCTATTTTAATAGAATAGATTTTTTTTTTGGTAAAGGGATTGTATTATAGTATTCTTCTTCTTTTTAGTACCTTAAAACAATTTTCTCGTCATTGTAAACGATTATATTTTTATAACGAAAACCAAAAGAAATTTTAACATATAAACATCTCTATATATTCTTTGATGAAAAAAAAACATCTTTATTGTTCTCAGGACCAAAAAAAAACATATTTACTGCAACACATGCCAATGTCGAAACGAAATTAAACAATCAAAACTTCTTTTAGTATCAATCGTAAAGATTCATAAAGTTCAAAGTTTCAAAGACGTTTGTCATTCTCATGTAAAGAGACTAAACTTTAATACTATGAATGAATCTATGAATTTGTAACACTTAAACAAGCTCAATCTGATTCATAAGCGAGAACAAAGCGAAGCAATAGAAGTAAAGTTAATAAACCATTATGGTTTTTGATTATTGTTGTGAGCGTGACTTAAAAGTAATGGGGGCCCTTGAGCCGACAAACAAAAGGTAATGGCCCTTACAATGTTTCAACATAATGATGTAACTTGTAAAGCATCTTAAAGACCAAATGTTCTTAAAATAAGATGCAACAAAATACATTAAAGTTACTAAGCAAAATGACAAATGATTACAGTAAAAGTTTAAACGATACAAATCCAAAGCTCAAATCAAATCCACAAGTACAACTTGTGCAAACACCACACAAAAGAGAGAGGGAGAGAGATTCAACATACATATTATAAGATGATCTTAAGTAGATACCATCCTGCGAAAAGGAAGAGAGGAGAGAGTGGTCCAGATAGGAGTCAGGACCGGTCCAAGTAGCATTCAAGACTGGTTTGAGAAATGTCCAACGCCAAGTTTCTGAGCTTCAAGTTTAAGTGACTTGAGATACTGAACAGCTTCATCAAGTACAGAAGCTGTATTCATCTCTTCTCCACCAGGGACAATCTTCCTCAACACTCCCATCATCTTCTTCATCTTCTTCCTTCCTCCTTTCCCACCATTGTTAGAACTACTAGCACTTTCTGATGAACTCTGCTTCCTTCTTGAGCTGTTATAGCCATAACTTGAGTAACAAGTCTCAGCTGATGTATTATTCCCATAATCCCTAGAAGCGTTACGAGCCGTGCTTACCTCTTCTGAATCACCACCATCCTCCTCCTCCCCATCATCTTCATCTGTGCTCAAGAGAGCATCAATCTCATTAGGATCTTCTTGGTAAGAAGAGGAGACTTCTTGTTGGCCATAGTTACCAAAGACTTCTTGGCCATAGTTATTACCATAACTTCCCCCAACATACTCGTTCTGAAACGTGGTAGCTAGTCTATTCAAGGAAGGAGAGTTTGCGAGCCTGTGAGTGAGGTCAGGATGGTACATGACTTGGCTGTGGTCATACGTCTGATCGAAAATGACAAAGTTCTTTGGACAGACAGGAGAGGGTTGAAGTTCAACGCCATGGTATGGTAACTTGGCACATGGTGGGAACAAACCATCAAAGGATGATGATGATGCATATGGGAAGTTCATGTTCCCATCACCCATTTCGTCAGAGAAATAGGGAAACTGATTGTTCTGCATTAGAGAAACCCGTGCAGAAGAAAGTAAAAAACAGAAAAAACAAAAACAAAGTCCTAAACCTCAAGAAACTGCGAGCTGCTTATCTTCTCTAGTATCAAACTTGGTCTTCGTTAAGCTTCAGAGCTGCTCGGTTACACTACTAAACACTACTACGTTGACAACTGAACCAGATGCTAGAATCAAGTTATGGCCATCTCAATGAAGAGCTTTCCACCAGAGCCCTAAACCCTAAAACCAGAAGCTACCTCCACCCAAAGGAGTTTCAGATGTCAACACAGCTCTTTCAGAATTGACCAAACACTTAATATCTCACAAAACCCTTTTCGAAACCAAAAGTAGAAAGCCGCCAAAAATAACCCCCCAAATTTCCGGAAACTCAATAAAACCAGACTACGTTACAGGCTTTAGCAACTGTCTGAAATATTCTGCCTGCAGAAATTTAAGAAAAGCAATGTTCAAACATCAATCACACTATATTTTATGCTTTAATAAGTGAATATTAGACTAGTTACATATTATCAGTGGTATACATTTTTGGGACTGGTAACATAGTTCAAAGTAGCTATAACATATTGAAAAGAGGAGTTACCTGAGAAACTTGAACGGATTGGTAATTAGCAATGAAACATGTAGTCATCATAAAGGTTCCTATTTCCTTCAATGTTCGGTTTCCCTTCTTGTTTCCAACAAAGCACATTCTCACAGTAAAACAGACACAACAACAACAAATAGCTACTCCGAATTTCGGAAATAAACGCCTGCAAAAACAAGAAAAAAAGAAGCAAATGGTCTTAACAAGAAGCTTAAGTAAAGTGGCAATGAGATTATCAATTTTCCACATGGCACCAACGCAAGAAGACAATCTAACTAGAAACCAACATATTATATGAAGGCTAAATGCTCAATCCAGAGGCAAAACAAAAGAAACAAAAGACAATCTAAAACTAGATTACCAACATATTATATTTGTTTTTAACACTAAAAGAAAACATATTTTATTTGTTTAAACGAAAGATAAACAATTATATGATGTCCAAAATGCTTTACCCAGAGGAAATACAAAAGAAACTACAAACTTGACAGACAAGAAGTGGCAGAAGCTACTCACCTGAAAGGAAGGTAAATTTACAGAATCACGAGGAAAAAGACAACGAGACGAGTGCAAGTCCGGTTGAAAAACATGTAGAAGGCTGTCCAGGGCATCTTGATTCTTCCCACTATTAACTTCAGTCTTGTGTATTTTTAACCCCCCGTTCCTCCTCTTCTTACAATAACTGCACAAACAAACAAAAAATTAGGACCAAATGCTATTCACAGAAAATGAAGTTAAAAGGCACTGAAACCGAGACAAAGTCCAAAAATATCTATCAGATACCAGAAACAGAGGATGTTTCATTCATAATTCATAAAATAAAAAAGAATACAACTTTATAGCATTTGTGTACAATTAATAGAGTACCATAACGAAAGACATTAACATCAGATCAAAAGGGTTTTTTCTTCTTCACAGAAACATTATGGTGATCATCAAGTAAAGTAAAAGATTGAAATAAACAGAACACAGAAACAGAATATTCCGAAAATGAAACAGAACACAATTACAGATAAACCACTTAGAATATTTTCAATACAATTCTCTCAAAGCGATCATCTGAGAAACAACAACCATAACAAGCTAGTAAAGTAATCAAAAAACAAAACTTTACTAGAAGATTAAAAAAAATAAATAAGAAACTAAAAAGTCAAAAATTGCGGCGGTAGTAAGAAGCTAAAACATCACATACCGTATTGAGTTAAAGAAGATCAATAAAAAAAATGAATCCTTTCTGAGTAAAACTTAAAAGCTTGATCGAAAAGTTAGGGAAGAAGTTGAGGCAGGAGAAGAAGATGTAGAGAGAAGAGAGATAAAAATTGGCAAAGACAAAGAGAGAGAGAGGTAGAGAAATAGGAGGGGGGAAGTGACAGAGAGCGTGGCCTTCTTTTTCTGGTGCGGTTTGTTTGTTGTTGTTTGGTCTGTCCATTTTCATTTTAATGACGGATACATATATGCTGCTCCTATTGTTTAAAGTTTTAATTCCCTAGCACGCTTTGTGTGCGTTTTTAATAATCAAAAAGATGTTAAACTTTAGTGGATTTTTTTTTGTTTTTTGGAAATATCAATTTTTTTTGCACTCTTGTTTATTTTGATTCATCCTAGATCAAATCTTGGACAAAATATGTCTTTTTACGAGTTATTGAATGAATAGTATATAAAATCCATGTAAAAGAAGATAAATTTTGGAATAGTTAAAATAATTAATTGCAAGTGTGTATACAATTTAAAATTTGAGGTGATTTTTATCAAAAAAGAAAATACAATTCTCCATATAATTTTTTTAAAGCGCTATTTTAAACATAATATTACCAAATTTGTCAATTTATAAAATATTTTGAATCTACTGTTGATAAAAATAACTTTAAGTATAGTTTTATGTTAGAGTTTAGTGATTATAACAGTTTTGATGGAGTTCCTTAGTAGTTAGCAAAATAAAAGTCCAGAGACTCATGATTGTAAAATAGATTTTAGTGTGATTTAGTTAAAATTATATTAAATTATTTAATTAATTTAAAATTATTAAATCACCCTAAATCACTTTAATTTAAAATTGAATACATTTTTAGTTATTTTTGTTGATAAAATATTTTCATTACTATCTAGTAAAGAATATTAGGCTAAGAAGATTGCACTAATAGATATCTTCAATAAATTTCTTAAATGAGGATATTACAAATAAGCGAATTTGATATCTGAGAGAGTTTAACCCTTTTTGAAAAACTTAATTAGTATATAGAATTATTTAATGAGCAATAATTTATATATTAAAATATAATAATTGTCAATAAATCAATAGAGGTACAGTTACAACAAGACTGTGATTCATTCTGTAAATTGGATTACAATTGGGATTTCAGTTTTACATGAATAGCGTAACACATGTATATCACTATGTAGATAGAAATTTTCGAATGGAAGTTATAAATGCAAAGTGAAAGAGAAAAAACAAGAACTGATTTATTAAGTGATGGTTTTGATAGAATAAAAATAAATAGTGGAAAATAAAGGAGAGGGAAGGGAGCACGCGTGAGAGGATGGACAGTAGAGAGTCAAACACGGGTAGTGTGAGCCGTTGGATGAAGCAATCTGAGTGGTTCCCGTTTAATGCGGGCATGATGGTGACCGTAGGATTGCGAGAGCACGCGTGAAAAGTTTCGTAGGTCCCCCACCAAACTCCTTCTCCTTCCTTGACAATTTTATTTAATTTTTTTTTTTAGTGTCTTAAAATTAAAATTATAAAAAAAAAATATTCAAAGTGTGTGTAATAATCGACGACACCATGTACTCATCTCTTTGGGCTCTTGCCCCAACCCCATACTTCCACACTATACTTATTTCGAACCAAACCTCATGATTTCACTCTGTACATTTGAGCTGTAATTATAAGTACATAAAAATCGAGTGTCTGACTCAATGTTGGCATGCGGGGTGGGTTATATTTTGTTTTGTTTTCCACTAGATTGATTTGATTGGTATCCACAAACAACCACGTTGTTTTCATAATCACTGTTTGTTTTGTTTACTAATCACGCGAAACAGTAAGTACGAATTAATATTTGGTACAGAAGTAAACATGTGGCACTAATAAGTAAGTTAGTAATCACTATCGTGTACACATATGAATCGTGTGGTTTAATTCGTATCATTGTTTGGTGTATATTTTATACTTCAAGGTAACGATGCCACATTGTTTGAGTTGAAATCAACCGACCCAATCATTTCTATCAAAAGAAAAATGTATATATCATTGTTGATAATACATAAAACCAACAAAACTGTATAGTATTGTACTATTAGGTGAAGCTAAGTTTTGATTGTCAAGAAAAGGGATATTTAAGTTCAAAAAGGGATATTTATTAGTATATATTCAAAATTTTACTTAGTATAATTTTATTATGGAACTAAATGTTTAGTATTTTAAAAATAATTGTATCATGGAATGAATGGTAAGTGGAAAGTTAGTCTTTCAATTTTGTTTGGTAGAATCAGTTTTTTGGCATACTTTTTATTATTATTTAGTTGAGACACTGTTCGAGACCATCAATGATGGTGTTCATAGTGCTAATGAAGGTTCTTAAGTGCCGGTGAAATACCCTATAGTGCTGAGCATGATCTTGTAGTGTGTTTTGAACTTTTGAAAACCAAAGCGGATTGTCTAGTCTAACCGATTTCGACAAAACTAAGTTACAATTATAATTTCCGTTGAATGGCTACAATCACTGACCGATACAATATTAAAAAAAAAAAACCGTTTAAGGAAATTTATGATTGCAAATTTCTAAACCAGAATATAGTATTTGATGGTCTACTTATAATAGACAACCAGTATGTTTTTATATTGTAGCAGAAACATAAATGAAAAATCACCTATGACAACCGAGAACTCTAGCAATTGTTTTGATGAAACCAAACCACCTAGTGCCAAATTCTTTGACAACTGATTTTTGAACTCAAGCAAATGCATGTGGACTTGGTGATTAATATCATTCAATTCATAGATGTGACAAACTAATATCATTCAATTTATTGCAATTCATAGAGGTGGCAATTAAAACTCATACATCAATAGTTTGTTTAATTGTCAATTTATATAACTAGCCTAACTAAGATTTGCCTTAAAATATTACGCTAAATAAAGAATTCACACTTTTAGCTACGCTAAACATGACATAGAGGAAAATAACACCAAAGAATTTAACAATTTTCAAGATTTGACATGCATCTCTGAAAACAGAAAACATCTCTTTGGTCATGGGGCAGAAAGCCTACACTTACAATGATTCTGGATGATGAGTGTGTATCAGCTAGACAGAACTACTGGATGGCACCCTGACAATAACAAATTTCATATGGTAGCGCAATGCAACTGTAACGTGCATAACACATGTCAATCGAAAAATATCCAATGTTTTAGTTGCTTTGTTTACCAAATTCTTAGGAAAATCTCACAATTTTATATATAAGTTATAAGCAATATTTTTAATATATTTTAGAGCATTTTCGACTTCAATCTGTTATTCTTCTAAAATAGGGTTTATAGTAAAAGTACTCAAACTCTATAAATATAATAATTCACTTATTTTTATTCATTATTTTATTTTCACTATAATATAAAATATTATAGTAGAACTCAGTTTCATTTAGAGTTACAATTCGAAAGAAAAATAGAGTAATCAATTAGAGATAGTCTCATAGATTTATGATTTATCACATTCAATAAAAATACAATATGAGTGAAGGTTGTCATTTATATCCACCAATGTATTTTTTTTCTTTTTGAATTTTAACGACCTAAAGTGTTCAAACTTCAAAATATATAGAAGATGATTTCAATGTTTACCTTCCAACCCCTTCTTCTTTTGTAACACCGCATTTCATTCAAATAAAAGTTACTCTGACAAAACAGAGTTTTGGTTCAATACATGAACAATAGAAAACAGAGCATTCTTAGCTAACCATCATATAACATCATACAATAATAAATTGAAAGCTAAACATATCATTTTTTCTAAAAATACATCCAATTCATTCAGAATAAATGCGATGACCCTGTAGTGAGTGCCAGGAGGATAAATTGATCTTGATGGTCACTTTGTTATCACCACACATTCTTGCAAATTTGTGTGTAACATGTTAAATTGCATTCTTGCAAGTTGACCACCATAGGAATCAACTTTCAAATTACATCCGAATCAATTAATCATATGGTTGAAACATGTATAATGTTTTGATGCACCAAAACGTAGCTGTAAATGGATTTCACATTAACTATACTAGCTAGGAGCATAAAATCGTTTTGGAACATGGATGCAAAATGGTTGTATAAATAGATAATTGAAATAGAGAATTCGGCCAAAAAAAACACGAACTTTGCACGAATTGCCAAAAGAAACCTGAATTTTTGACCTGACCAAAAAAAACATAAACTTTTCATTGACTTTCGAATTAATTAACAATGTTTTCGTTGACTTGCCAATTTGGCACGCCGTCAACAAATTTAACAGAAGAAATTAACGTTGTTAATTGTTGCCGTTAGGATGAGACGACGTCGTTTTCGATTGAGAAGAAACGACGTCGTTTTAAGCGATTTGAAAATAAAAAGCCGTAGACCCCTGGATTCGAACCCGGGTTGATTGGATCAAGTGGCAAGGAAGTTTACCACTAGGCTAGTGGCACATTCAATGTATCTACTAACACATTTACTTATATTTGGTACTGATTGAATATTAAAAAAATTCTATAAAAACTTTAAAAATCTTTAAAATTTCAAAACAAATGAAAAAGAAATTTTTTTTTTATAAAATTAATTTTGATATAAAAATTAAAATAAAATTTTATTTTTCTTTAAAAAATCAGACGGGAACTTATAAAATTTTATTTTTCTTTTAATGTATCTATTAACACCTTTACTTATATTTGGTACTGATTGAATATAAAAAAAAATCTATAAAAACTTTAAAAAGTCTTTAAAATTTCAAAAAAATGAAAAAAATAAAGAGTTTTTTTATAAAATTAATTGTGAAATTAAAATCATAATAAAAAAATTATTTTTTTCTTTCAATGTATCTACTAACACATTTACTTATATTTGGTACTGATTGAATATAAAAAAATTCTATAAAAACTTTAAAAAATCTTTAAAATTTCAAAAAAATGAAAAATAAAGAGTTTTTTTATAAAACTAATTTTGAAACTAAAATTAAAATAAATTTTTATTTTCTTTAAAAAAATCAAAAATCTTCCAAAATATTAGTTTAAAGAATTTTATTTTAATTTTAAAATTAATTTAAAAAAAAATCGTTATTTTTTTATTTTTTTGAAATTTTAAAGACTTTTTAAAGTTTTTATAGATTTTTTTTATATTCAATCAGTACCAAATATAAGTAAAGGTGTTAATAGATACATTAAAAGAAAAATTAAATTTTA